TTTTTTTTTGTTAAAGGTGCACAATAGGTCCTTTTTTTTTTTTCTGCATTTTCGGGCCTCCCTAAAATTTGCAAAAAGGTGAAGGTAAAGGAGGGAATAGGGTCTATAAGAAAATGAGCAGGGGTAGTTTGGGCAGTTGGTTAAACAAGTTTGCATATTATGTTGGTAAGCTATCCCTACTTTAGTTCTGTTAAATGGACAATGACTGAAGAAGCTCTGCAAGAGTGAAACACGTTTTGGCTATATACAGGACTTTTCAAATGTATTTTATATTGTATTATTTATGCTTGCATTAAATGTTTTAATTTAATTGTACAATAAATGTTATCAATATTTTAAAGTCCATTTGAACCTTCCGAATCTTCATAGGGGTAGTGCCATCCCCATTTAATCGGCACAATACTTACATACCTCAGAGCCAGGACTTTAAGGCTCTAAAAAAAATAAAAAAATAAAAAAAGTGAGCACTATACCTATTCTCATTTTTCTTATCCTGTTCTTACTGACACTCTAAACATTGGTTGCCTTTTCCCCCTTTTATTTTCCTCTGAGTGAACTTCAAAGCAGACAAGAGGCATAATGCTGCCCTAAAAGTATACAAGACAAGTTATGGAATATAACACACGCACACGCTCCTGTAAATGTGATCCTACTTCTCAAGAATTTACTTCATTTTTAAATATCATCTACACTATATTGTGTATATTTTTAATTTTGTATATGTACCACAAGTTTAAGATGTTAACAAAATAATATGCAGTAAGTTACCCCACACACAGATATAGTTTGTACTAAGCGCTCCGCTTAAGGTGTAGGTTTTACCACTTTGAAGTTAAGAAAATGTTTGCACTGTATTTGTTGTTTATGCGTTTTTGTATTGTTATTGTTTATGAATGTGGGTGTCATGATTCTGAGCAGGTCAGGTAAGAGACTGAAACTGGGGTTAACTTCAGGGTCTTTATTTGTGATCTTAGTCATAGTATAAACAGGATATCCTATAATTAAAATTATCTGAAAGCGAGCAAACAGAATCAAATAACAGGTAAGCATAACTAGGCTATGAAATAAAGGGTTTAGACAATAAGCCCAAAGTGGAAATAAGGTAACAGGTAAACCTATAAATTAAGTTATAGGTAGGAGATTGAAGAATAACCTGTAAGAGAAATTATAGGTAAGTCTCTTGAGGGTAAACAGAAAAACCAGAGTTAGGCAATATACCCCAGAACAGGATATAAAGAAACAGGGAAATCTACAAGAGAGATATGTAAAGGAAGATACGCAAAACCTATTAATGTAATGTAAACAAATAACTAACCAGAACTAAAAAGATTAAGTCGTACAGGTGTGAAGTTTAGTTGTTCAGCCTCTTTGCATTAGAGGTTGTACTGCAGTTACAGGTCTTTCATGATAGATGCAAATATTATCTGAAATGCTTGTAAATCCAAGGTAGGAGTAATGTAGGTAGTTACAAAGGAATAATAAATTAAAGTACAGTGTTGAATTAAGCAAGTGGGTGTAGAGCTGTTCGGGAAAGTTTGGAGCAGGTTGGTTGTAAGGCAGGTTTTGAAGCCAAGAAGGTAAGTCCACAGGTTAGAACAAAGAAGCCAGGATCTGAAGACCTTCAGGCAAATCATCAACTTCAATGTAACCTTTTGTAGCTTCTTAATAAGCTACAAAAGGTTTTGTACCACGGCAACGCTCCAAATTTCGCGAGAGTGAACTCTAGCCCTGGAGCGCGGGATAGAGTTCACCTCACCACCACTGGGACCACCAGGGAAACCCCCACGGACCACCAGGGATTGAAATATGTCCCCCCTCCTCCCAGTAAAGGTAAGAAGGGAGGGGGCACATAAAGAATATGTTTTAATTATATTTTTTTTAAAAAACAGATATAAGAAGGGTAGGGGGGCTTTTAATATTTTAATATAATATGTGTTGTTTTTAAAAATGTTTTTTAATTAATATGTATGTATGGGGGCAGTGTGTGTGTGGGGGACAATGTGTGTGATAAGAAAGGTAGGGGGCTTTTTTATAATCCCACACACACACTGCCCCCATACACACACTGCAAATATCACACACAAATACTGACCCACACATACACTGCCCCCCTAACACACACACTGCACCCCTGACATATACTGCCACACTCACTCACACACTGCAACCTTCATAGACACACACTGCCACCTCACACACACACTGCACCCCTTACACATTGCACCACTCACACACCACTGCTCCCATGCCCTACTACAGCCCCATTTCCCAGCAGACCTCAGGTAAGTTGTCAAACTGTTATTAAACAGTTTGGCTACTTACTCTGGGAGGGGTATCCCGGCACTATTGACACCATAACCGCTACACTGAGCTGTAGTGGTTATTGTGTCTGGATTATTTATTTAAATAATCTACAAGTGCCCCTCCCGAGATCAGGCTCTGGATCCGCCACTGGGATATTCAGGGTTCTCTTCTGATCACATTACATGTTGAATTCATTGCATATTGAGAATGATCTTGCAGACTGTGGAGTTCCTACCAATATATAGTGAACACAAAGTGACGGGGAAATCCAAAGAGAACCGGTTTACACTTTTCCAAAGAAAACCTCTTAAAACATATTTCAAACTCAGTGATTTAGAATGCATTGTGTTTCACTTTCTTTTTAAGTCAATAAGTGTCTAAAATCCTTAGATGAGGTCAAAATAGCAAAGCTAGACCATGTCTTCAACTCAGGTGAGATGGACACTTTTTCTAACTTTTCTATTTTGGCCTAATGTTCCATCTTACTGTTAATGAAAACACACACAGGTAACACTGTGAAAAGGGCAAGAGACACTAACAATAAAAAAGCAGCAGTCTGGAAAGATTAAGTAGAGAATGATAAGCATGGATGGAGATTGCAAGTGGAGTCCCCTCTGATGAGCCTGGTGGCGAAACGCGCGCGTCAGGGGCTCCGTGGTATCCTCCGATAGTAGCTACACGGCTGCAGGAAGGAGCAGCAGTTACTTACATTTATTTAGACAGGATCCACTATACTTTCATTGCTAGCATTTTATTCATTTGTTTGTAAGGACGTGGACAACATTGGCATAAGGAGTCGCTTAAACTACAGATAGGTGCCCTCACAGTCAGACAGAGAACCTATGATTAGTTACACTAGCAGAGTTATTTAGGGACTAGTGACAGCCATTTATCTGATCAATTTAGTCCCATATGCTTTGATTATTTGTGCTACCTTACAGCGTTATTTAGGCGGTAGTCCCCCTTTCAGTTTAATGGGTATTTTACTTCCCATTTTCCTTTTTTCACATTTATTTCCTTTTTCCTCTATTCTTCTCTCTTACTTCCATAGATTTATCATAAATTGTGTGAATATGCATTCCAAAGTTAATATGCTATTCTTAACCATCTATGAATAAAAGTTAAGTTTTATATTCTACAACATAGAAATCGGTAACCCAATATCCCTAGCAGTACTCTCCAACTTGTCTTATTGTGTTGCAAGTGGAGGAAACACTGAGTGTGTATAGACAGTTTTGTGACGATAAAGTAAAGGAGCCTATGGGGAAAGGGACAGTTAAAAATGGATAATCAGACACAGATCCTGGGTTTTTATTAATTAAACACCAATATGTAGGACAGTGAAAACGGAATTGCAAAATTCAGACCAAAAAAGCAGATTTTAAAAAATGTGGTGTTTAGTGAATAGACTTCTTACAGAATGTAAATGTATCTCATGAGGTGAAGTGCAGTATTTGTGTGAAAACGCCCCCTCCCCCACCCCCCAAAATCCCAACATTATATGAATAATACATTTAGAAAAGACTGGACACATCCAATTTTGAATGCACTGGGCTGCCTACTTTCACAAATGGTATGCCACAATGGGGATAATTCTCATTCCTGGGCTGCCATACTATGTCAAAGGCAACATAGGCCCAGAAAAGCAATTTGTCGGATATCCACAAATGAAGATTGCTGGTCATATTTGATCCCATCAAAAACCAATATGGAGGAGGGCATTGTTATACTCATGGGGAATCACCAAATGCAAATATGTATTCATAGTAAAAAATGCCATTCAGAACTTGGAAAGTTTATTTAGATTTTATTCATATTAAATGTGAAATGAAAGCCCTATTTCTCCTGAACATAATAATATGTAATAAGTGTTGGTGCACTTAATATGAAAGAGGTAAATTATGGTTGAACAGACAGGTAGTTTAAATTCTAGGTTTTGTTTTGGTTCTGAATTTGTACAATTGCCTCAAAGGCACACTATAGTCACCAAAACACTTTAGCTTAATGAAACAGATTTGGTGCGTAAATCATTCCCATGCAGGTTGACTGTTCAAATCTCTGCCAAATAGGAGTTAAAGAACATTGTTTATGCAGCCCTAGGCACACCTCCCTGCATGTGACTTACACAGCCTTTCTAAACGTTTCCTGTAAAGAATCGTCTAATGTTTACACTTACTTTATTGCAAATTATGTTTAATTTAGAATCTATCTCCTGGTCTGTTGTGCTGCAAGTGGAGGAAACAGACTTGCTAGACTCTGCAGGAGCCTTCTGTAGGTAATTAAAGTTAAATTTACAGAGCAGGAGATAAAAAACTTTAAAGTAAGTGACATCTGATTTAAAATGAAACCATTTTATTTACACGCAGGCTGTGTCAGTCATAAACAGAAACAAAGTGATTAACACCCAAATGGCGGTGAATTGAGCAGTGAGACTTCAGAGGCATGATATATACACTAAAACTGCTTCATTAAGCAGTTTTGGTGACTATAGTGTTCCTTTAACCCCTTAAGGACCAAACTTCTGGAATAAAAGGTAATCATGACATGTCACACATGTCATGTGTCCTTAAGGGGTTAACATAATGGCAGAGTAACAACTTGATATGTACATACAGTGTAATAGTGCTCTTGTTACGACAGTAATATATAGTAATGGTTCATTTTCTTTGAATTAAAGAATGAGGAACCAGCACCATCCTAGGAAGTCCAGAAGAGCGACTATACAGAGACTATATGATATTCTAGATTTAATGGTTAGTTATATTGGTAGAACATTGCTTCTTTCTTGCATTGTGTTCGTGACTGGTTTTAGTTATCAGTATTTCACGTTTTGAAGTCTTATTAATTTTGTTGTAAATTAATTTTGCAAACTGTATAAGCAGTCGCGTGTCTCAGAATCCCTTCTCAGCTTTAACCTTTCTCAACTTCAAGGACAATTTTAAGAACCTGTTAATAGAAAACACAAGTAAACTGCAAGGTTTAATACAGACATACAATAATTACATGAATATATGAATTCAGTAGCATTTACTGTGTTACACTGATATCATATTCTATGGTCACGTGTACAGCGCTATGGTCTATGTCAGAGCTTTATTTGTGTATAATAATAAAAGTTATGATTGCGATCGGCAGGTTCTCTTGTTCCAGCAGATTCTCTCTAACATTCTCTATCTGCCCTGCTCTAATAATCTGAACCAGTTTGGCATTTACAAATATAAAGTATCTACAGTTTTCCACAAATAAGGAAAACAATTTAATTCCAAAATAGCAGCAATCCGATTTCTCACTGGATTACCGAGCCGCTAATAATACAGTCAGTATTACTTGTTATAATTTCCTACTTTGTCAAAATATTTACCTATTTAATCTTTATTTAATAATAAATTACACAGCATTACTTTATATTACCTTAAATGAAAACTTATCACTGATTGTTCGCACACAGAGTCTCTGGATTTCTCACGGCAGCAGCTGTAGGATCCATTTGTATAAGTCCCCCTGTGATTCATGTAGTCTGCAAATGCTGACTCAATGCTGTAATTTGTAAGGGGCAGTAACTTCCGTTGATTAAAATGATTGTCCATTTGATTAGCCATGGTCTTCTCAATGGTGTGCGCGTATCCCAGGAAATGGGCGACTTCATGGATGATCGTTTTTGGGCGAGAGTTTATTCCCAGACATGCAGTACTCTCCCAAAAAGGTGGGCAGAGATAAATAATCCTTTCATTTGATCGTGGATAAACATAAGCGTGCCAAGTTTTATTAATATCACCCCTGCATCTCATGAAGGTCACTTTCTGGAGTTCACTAATGAGATCTTGTACCAGACTTGGACTAATTAATGGAATGTACTTATCCGAGGAACGGCCATTGAAGTCTTCTGAATTCTCCACCAACAGGCGGTCCTTTTTCTTCAGAGTATCAGTCAGGATATTCAGAGTTCTCTGTTTTGCTTCCTCTGCCAGTTTCTGCTCAGCCTCACTCAAAGGAGATCCTTCTCTGATCACATCACTTGTTGAACCCATTGTAGTTGATGCTTTGTTACCAGATTGACAATGATATAACCTGCAAGCTCTGTGCAATATATATTGAGTACAACATTTCGGGGAAATCCAAAGAAAATCTCTGTAAACAATTAGCAAACTCCGTAACTTAGAACATAATGTGTTTCACTTTCTTTTTAAGACGATTTCCCAGAACAGGTGTATCGTATCTTGTCAGCAGTGTGCTCGGGACTGACAGGAAAATGTTATAATGATGAGCTAAATCCCAACTTGTAGCACTGGAGAATTTAATTTACCCATAATCCAGTGCCAACATGGTGCTTCTCACTGCTCCGCTCTGCAATCTCATAGAGACGCACTGAATCCAATACTTCCCTATGAGAAGACAAAATGGACTAAAGCACCCCAGTACTCAATAACCCTTATTACTGAGATATAAATCACAAGAATCACTGGTTTGGTATTTAATAGAACTAAGTAACTGAGTGAAATGTCTTCAACAGTATACAGTGTGTGAAGAAATTGCTAGAATTCAGCAAAAGATAACCATTTAACCGTCTGTTTTCAATGATATAACAAGCTTTATTTTTCATTGCCAAAAATAAACAGACTGACAGCTATATCGATATGCTAATTAAATTTGGTGATTAAATTAAAGTCAAGATATACTGTGTCTCTATATATTCCCTATTAATATAATAAACATCCCCTCAGCAACATTCATGATTTACAATGTCCAATAATCTGGAGCAGTCTTTGAAAAAAGGTAGTGGGATTAATTGGAAAAAAACTTGTATTCTAATAGGGAGAGCTCACCTAAATTGTCAATTAACTGGTAGTACAGGGGGTTGTTGGAGTAAAAAGCTGGGTAATTATTGTGAGATAAGTATACAAAGCGAGATGATATAGGAAAATCTGGAGAGATAGATGGAGGGAAAAGGTAAGTGCATTTAGACACAGTTTAGGTAAGTATGACATAATCTGAGATAGCAATTGTCTAGACTAGAGGCTTTAAAATTCTCTCTCTCTCTCTCTCTCTCTCTCTCTCTCTCCCCTTGTCTCTAGTCTGGACTAATATAATCACCAAAATCCCTCATTATTGCAGCTTCAGGGCAGTGGTGTATCCTGGTTTTGTGCTGCCCTAGGACAAAACTCAGACGGTCCCCCCCCCGCCCTGCCTTCTAAATAGACACACACACACATTCACTGACAGATACGCATACACTAGCTAACAGAAACAGACACACGCTTACAGACACACACACTAACAGACACACACACACTCACATTAACACATTTTTTTTATTTACCCCTCCCCCCAGCCTCCTTACCTTTGGGAATGCTGGGGGGGAGGGGTTCTCTTTCTCCCTAAGGGGTCCACTGTCTGCTGGGCGGGCGACGCTGGCGGGCGGCTGGCGAGGGAGCACTTCCCCTGAGCACTCTGCTCAGCTCCCTCGCGCGCCGCAGAGTGAGGCTGGGAACCGGAATATGACGTCCTATTCCGGTTCCCGACATCACTCTGCGGCGCGCGAGGGAGCTGAGCAGACAGCTCAGATGAAGTGCTCCCACGCCAGCCGCCCGCCAGCACCCCCCGATTGCCCAGCAGCCAGCCCATCAGCCCGACCGGCATGTCAGTTAGCCGCAAGGCTAACAAGACATTTGCCCTGGGCATTTGGGGGCGGCTTTTTTTGCCGCAGCCTGGAAAATGCCGCCCAAGGCAAATGCCTTGTTTGCCTCGAGGCTAAAACGTCCCTGCTTCAAGGGTGCAAAAAAACCCCCAGAAATAAATTAATCTCCTCCACCTACACGAGTGCTATTGGTTCCTAATACTGGAATCCTATAGCACCTTCACGGCTGCTAATAGTATAAGTCTCTGTATAAACGGCTGCAGTGGAGTGTCCTGTCTCCTAGTATACATAGCTAAACCCTCACAATAAATAAACCAAATAATCTGGAGCAGTCTTTGAAAAAAGGGAGGGGGTTTGTTTGTAAAAAACAATGACTAAAAGCTATAGGACATTAGTTTTGAGACTTTCCAGTGCTGTGTCACCTCTTGCACATTCATTAATGAAGAGTTTTTGTAGCAGATATTGTACAAAGCAATCAGTTTATTGTAGCTTGTGATCGGATGGATATTCCTTATCTAATGCATGAATTAATGATTATTTTAGAAAGTGGATGCTATGGAAAGTGGAAACTGTTTCACTGCAGGGTTAACCCAGCCTCTAGTGGCTCTCACTGACGGCCACTAGAGGCCGCTTTCGCGATTCTCACCGTGAAAATCACAGTGAGAAGACACTGGACGTCCATAGGAAAGCAGTGAGTAATGCTTTCCTATGGGCGGGTGGAATGCGCGCGCGACTCTTGCCGCGCGTGCGCATTCAGAGCTGATGTCAGCAGAGGGAGGAGAGTTCCCCAGCACAGAGGGAGCCCAGTGCAGGAGAAAGGTAAGTGGCTGACGGTCACCCCCCTTCACTGTCACTAGTCACCCCCACTCACTGTCACTAGTCAACCCCCCTCACTGTCACTAGTCAACCCCCCTCACTGTCACTAGTCACTCCCCTCACTGTCACCAGTCACTCCCCTCACTGTCACCAGTCACCCCCCCTCACTGTCACCAGTCACCCCCTCACTGTCACTAGTCACCCCCCTCACTGTCACCAGTCCACCCCTCACTGTCGCAGTCCACCCCCCCCTCACTGTCCACTAGTACCCTGTCACTAGTCACCCCCTGCTGTCACTAGTCACCCCCCCCTCTGTCACTAGTCCACCCCCTCACTGTCACCAGTCACCCCCTCCTGTCACCAGTCACCCCCTCACTGTCACCAGTCACACCCCTCACTGTCACTAGTCACCCCCCCCCCCTCCTGTCACTAGTCCCACCCCCCTCACTGTCACCAGTCACCCACTCCCTCCCTCACTCTGTCACCAGTCACCCCTTCCTTCCCTCTGTCACTAGTCACCCCTTCCCTCACTCTGTCACCTCATGATGATAACTTCCCCCTTCATTGTCATTTTAGCTATTTCCTCAACTAGTAGATTATCTAACTCTTCAATTTGTCCTGGGGGCCTATAAATCACACCTACACGAGTTACTGTGTGATTACCAAATTCTAACGTAGCCCAAACGGACTCTATGTTCGCCTCACTAACTTTTATTAGGCTAGATTTTATGCTATCCTTCACATACAAGGCCACCCCTCCCCCTTTCTTGCCTTCCCTATCTTTCCTATATAAAGAGTACCCTGGTATTGCTATGTCCCAGTCATTTTTCTCATTGTACCATGTCTCAGTAACAGCGACTAAATCTACACTATCAGTTGCCATTATTGCCACAAGTTCATGGATCTTATTCCCTAAACTGCGAGCATTTGTAGACATGACTCTAAGCTTATCATTTTTTAACACACTTGCTACAGGCACCTTCTGTCCTTGTTTTGGGGGACAATTGGATTGATGTTTTATCACCCTCTTGCCCCCCCTCCTAGTTTAAATACATCCTAGCAAAACCTCTGAACTGCTCACTGAGAACATTTGTTCCCTTTTGAGAAAGATGCAAACCATCTTTTTTGTACAGCTTATCTCCATTCCAAACAGAGCTACCATGAGAAATAAAGCCAAATCCTTGCTCCCGACACCATTCACCAAGCCACAAATTAAAGTCCCTAATACGCATCCGCCTGTCGTTCTGAGTGTTATGCACAGGCAGAACTTCAGAGAATGACAGTGTGGAAGCAACCTGCCGTATATCATTGGCAAAAACACTAAAAACTTCCTTAACCTCTGAAACCTCATTGCAAGCCAAGTCATTTGTCCCTAGATGGACAAGTACATCCAATTCCCCTTCCTGCTTTGCTTGCTTAACAATATTACAGATACGTCTCCTGTCTCTGTGAGCAGTAGCTCCGGGAAGACACCTCACAAGACCACCATTGTCCATCTCACACCTCTTATAATGGAATCCCCAACAACAACTGCTTTCTATTAGGCCTCACCATAGTCTCCAAGCCGGTCTCCACAACACCACTAGTCTCAGTGCCTCTCTCCACAACACCACTAGCCTCAGTGCCTCTCTCCACAACACCATTACACTCTGAAAGTGCAGAAAATGAATTATGAAGAGAAACAGACTGTGCAAAATGCCTTTTATCCACAACTCTAAGTCTACCAGATCCTACAGTAATCCATCTGCCATTCCTAGTATGTCTCTGCGGCAGTGGCTTTGCAGCAGTTCCAGTCTGAGTTTGTTCACCAGATAATTTACAAATCTCAGACTTCAAAAATACAATCTCCTGCCGCAAGATAGAGAACTGTCTACAGATTAGACAACAACCAAACCTCCAAAAAGTGGAACGTGAAACAAATGCATAGCAATTGTTACACTGAACTAAGTCTGCCATTCCAATGAGGAGAATTATTTAAATCAAACAAATCTTAACTTTTTTCTTTATCCTCCTGAATACCTCAGATTACCTCCAGGTTATCTCCAGAATATCTCCAACTAGACACTTAGAAACAGCACTTAGAAGTAGCACCAAGCTATACTAGCCAAGCTAATGACAACAAGCCTTAAATAACTCCTAAAATCACCACCCACTAGGAATGTTTAACACCTGGGTAGGCCTCTGCTTATTTGCAAACAACAGCAAATTTAAACAGCAATCAATAGCAAGTAATCTAATCAGCCTAGCAGGAGGGGGGCCCTGAGGGTGGGGGGAACCTAAAGACCCGATAGTGCCAGGAAAAATGAGTTTGTTTTCCTGGCACCATAGTGGTCCTTTAACACCAACTTTAAATCACTAATTAACAATATGAGTGTTGTTGTTTTTTTTTGTTAAAGGGACACCATAGGCACTTTTTTCCCCCTGCATTTTCGGGACTCTATAAATTTTTAAACAAGAAAATGTTTCCATCCAAAGGTTTCACGATTTGAAAACGTTTTAATTTTTCACTGGAACCAATTCGGCCAAGTCAAATTTTGTCTAGTAGTTACCATAAACTGCTTTTAGGGGATAGTAATG